AGAGAAGGCGGTGGAGTTGCAAGACAGCTGCGCTGGAGGGTCGGGCTGATGCGGGGACACAGCTGCACTGGTGCTCTGCTGCGCTGAGGGTCGGGGCGGGGAGACAGCTGCAATGCAGCTCGGCTTCGCTGAGTTGCTGTGAGGGGCAGAGATACGGGAGCGCGACTGCTGAGAGAACCTGAGGGGCTGGTGCGGGGGGGAGGGGAGGTGCTTTAGTGGCGGGGAAGGGGGATGGATGTGAGAGACTGGATGGAGGGGGGGGTGGACCTTGGGGTACCGAGAATGGGGACCGTGGACCTGGTGTGAGGGTAGTGGCGGAGTATGAGAGGGGGAGTGGGAAGTATGGGCTGGGAGGAAGGAGGTGGAGTGAGTGGGGGAGGGCGTAGGGAGAGGGGAGGTGGGGAATGTTGTGTATGGGGGGAGGGAGGGGGAGGGGAGGGATGGGGAGGGGCAGCGAGTGAGGGAGGGGAAGGGGGTGGGGAGGGATGGGGAGGGGGAGGGGCAGCGGGTGGGGAGGGAGGGTGGACGGGGTCAAAGATGTCTCCTGATGAGGCGGGGAGAGAGTGGGGAGGGGGTGGGGGTGCAGGTGGGACAATGGTGGGAGGGGGAAGAAGGGAAGGGGAGGGAAGAGGAGGTGGGGGGGGAATGGTGTCAGTCCAGAGGAGGGGACGGGTGGTTAGAGGGAGGGGGTTAGGGATTTTGGGGGAGGTGTAGTACGGGTGGGCTTCATCGAATTCCACATCCCGACTACGAATGAGGCGACCTGAGGGGGGATGGAGGAAGAGATAGTCCGGGGAGGAGGTGTTGTGACCAAGGAAAATGCAGGGGAGAGTGCGGGAGGCTAGCTTCCCAGCTTTGCGTGAGTGGTCGACAGGGTGTATGAGAACATACGCCTTGGAACCCCACACGCACAGGGGGGTGATGTCGGGCTTTTTGGATGTCCAGAGTGCGGTGGGAGTGGTAGTGGGCCGGGAGGGATGAGGGTACAAGTTAGTGAGGATGGCAGCGTGGAGGATGGTATAGCCCCAGAGAGAGGGCGGGCAGGAGGCATGGACCATGAGGCACCGAGCAGTTTTGGTGACCTCACGGACCCTACTCTCCGCCACGCCATTCTGCTGAGGGGAATGAGGTAGGGTGTAGGTGTGAATAATACCACGAGTGGTGCAGTAGGATGAGAGCATGTTGTTAAGGAACTCACCACCGCCATCAGAGTGGAAGCGGGAGACAGGGCGTTTGAAATGGGTGCGTGCTTGTTCAGCCCAAGCAATAATAGCAGCCGGGGCTTCCGCCTTCGTGCGAAGGAGGGAGACGGAGGAGTAGCGGCTGTGGTCATCCACCAGGATGAGCAGGTATTTATGACCTTGCCTGGTGGGGGAAGGGTTGGGGCCCCAGAGGTCCATGTGGACGAGCTCAAGAGGCTGGGGAGAAAGGGAGGGATGACTCTTGTGGGGGGCCTGTTTCAGTTTGCTTTCAACGCATACTGAGCAGGGAGGGGAGGGTGATGGGGGGAGAGGGGGAAGGGTGAGGGGGAGTCCGTCGAGGAGTTGGGTGGAGACAGTTTGACGGAGGGTGGCAAAGTTGGGATGACCCAACCTATGGTGAAGGAGAACTGCGGGGTGGGTGAGGTCACGAGAGTGACAGGAGGAGGTGGGGGAGGGGAGGGGGGGAGGAGGGGAGGGGAGGGGAGGGGAGGGGAGGGGAGGGAAGGGGAGGGAGGGGAGGGGAGGGGGGGGGGAGGGGATGGGGGAGGGGATGGGAGGAGGGGAGGGAAGGGGGAGCGGAGGTGAGGGGAGGGGAAGGGGTGAGGTGGGGGCGATGAGGTGGTGAATGGAGGGGCGAGGGGTGCGATACGTGTACAGGTTTGTCCGAGGGCAGAGGGGAATGCGATAGATGAAGCGACCAGTGGTGGTGTGAAAGAGGTCGCAGTGGCGTGCATGACCACGGAAGAGGGCGGTGATATTGAACCTGGTGAGGTCACACAGTGCTACCAAATTGTTGCGCAGGGAGGGGATGTATAGACCTGTGACTGTACCTGAGGGGAAGATGGGACAGGGGAGGGTGGAGGTGTGTCGACTTGTGATGGTGAAGCTGGAGTCAGCTCCGTGGATAGTGGAGGGAGTGGGGAGGGGTACCAGTGTGCCAGCATCGCGCAGAACAGTGTGTGTCGCTCCACTGTCAAGGATAAACTCAAGGCATGAAGAGGAGGAGGAAAAGGCGGAGTACTGGAAGAGAGACTCATTAATAGCATGGGCATACATAGAATCTGCAGGAGAAGTGCTAACATGTCCTATGAATCCAGCAAAGGGGAACGGAGTAAAGCCAGGAGGGTTGGAGGAGGAGGAGGGCTGTTCAGCAAGATTAGCAGCAGGTCCAATAGGTCCATGACCATATCCACGAGGTGGGTAAGGAGGGTAAGGCCAGCCAGTATAGGGTGGAAGGTAGTGAAGGGGGGGGCTGGAGGCGGAGGTGTGGATGGAGGAGGAGTGGGAGTGGTGGGAGTGGGGGTGGAGGGGAGAAGATGCTGGACTTGTTGAAGGATGTGAGATGGGAGATGGTGAGTGAGGACATTGTGAAGGTTGGGAGTAGAGGGTTGATAGGCGGGGAGGGTGCGGATGTCATGGATGGAGGGGCGTGGGAAAACAGTGTTCTAGCGAGGTGGAGTGCCAACGTTGCCACGTGCAAACCACTCGTCAGTGAGGGCTTTGAAGCACGTGTCAGTGGTGTGAGTGATCTGAGAGCATGGCTGACCTTTGATGGAGCCATAGCGGATGATGTATTGACACGGGGGGAGGGTGCCTGAAGGTGAGGGGTGAGGGGTATCCGCCGCGTACGCCACGGCCACCACTGCGACCACCACCACGTCCTCCGCCTCGGCCGCCACCACGTCCACCACCACCACTACCGGCGCCGCCTGAGCCGCCACCTGCTCCGCTGTTGTGGTTAGGGATGAGCAAGGTGGCGAACACGTGTTCGGTTCGCCTCGAACGTGTTCGAGGCGAACCGAACAGGTTTTGTTTTTTAGCTCAAATCGTTCGCCGAACAGTGTTCGATGTTCGCCCGAACACGTTCGTGTTCGGGCCGCTGCTGAAATTTGCCCGCGACGAACACGAACAGTGTTCGAGGTTCGCCCGAACACGCCTCCACAGGCGAACAGCGAACACCTGTTTTTTCCTAAACTATTCGCCGAACCGAACACTGTTCGGTTCGGCAAAAGAGGGTGTTCGACAAGGGGCGAAGACGAACATGTTCGTGTTCGCCCTTTGCTCATCCCTAGTTGTGGTTGCCTGTGGTAGCTTTGCGGGTCTGGACAACATTGACGGTGGCAGAGTCAGGTTGAATGTCCGCTTCGCTGTCAAGAAGCCACTCGATGGTGTCAGCCACAGGAGGAGGATGACAGTAGCGAGAGGTGAAGGTGATGCGGTAGGTGTCATATGTGGGAGGGAGGCAGTCGAGGATGCGTGCAGTAAGAAGGGACTCAGAGATGACAATGCCCCGGTTAGGGATGAGCAATATGACGAACTCCTGTTCGGTTCGCCTCCAACACGTTCGAGGCGAACCGAACAGGATTTTTTTTTGGCCTAAATTGTTTGGGGCGAACGTGTTCGGTGTTCGCCCGAACACGTTCGCCGTTCGCCCGGCTCAGCTCGCCGAGGCGCGTCGAACACGAACGTGTTCGTGTTCGACACGGGCCTTCGACAAACACCAATGTGTTCGTCGACGAATAGGCCCGCGACCAATTTTTAGGTCGCGGGCCTTGGTGTTTGGGCTCAGATCTGGCCTTTCGCAGTTAGTAAAGTGCAGATCTAGCATTTCGCCATTGCTTAAGTGCAGATCAAGCATTTCGCCGTTGCTTAAGTGCGGATCGAGCATTTCGCCATTGTTTAAGTGCGGATCGAGCATTTCGCCGTTGCTTAAGTGCGGATCGAGCATTTCACCGTTGCTTAAGTGCGGATCGAGCATTTCGCCGTTGCTTAAGTGCAGATCTAGCATTTCGTCGTTGCTTAAGTGCGGATCTAGCATTTCGCCTCTGCTTAAGTGCGGATCTAGCATTTCGCCTCTGCTTAAGTGCGGATCTAGCATTTCGCCGTTGCACGCTGGCACTAGATGGATGAAGCAGGGCGGGACTGGCTTGGGAGGTGGGGGGAGAAAATGTTCGACGATTTGAATTTTACTCTATATTGAATTTCCCCCTGGGCGAACGGCGAACACCTATTTTCACTCAAGTCGTTCGCAGAACCGAACACTGTTCGGTTCGGCAGAAGGCCATGTTCGTCAGGGGGCGAACACGAACATGTTCGAGTTCGCCCCCTGCTCATGCCTAGCCCCGGTCATTGAGGCGTTGCGCAGTGTGAATGAGGCGACGGGTGTAGGCAGCAGCAGTGGGGGAGGAGTCAAGAGTGATGTCTTGGAATTTGCGAAAGAGGGCGAGGAGGGAGCGAAGGTCCTGACGGTCGTACTGAGTAGAGAGGGTTTTCCAGAGTCCAGAGGAGGAGGCGGGACGAAGGTCGCGTTTGAGGTGAGAGGGGATGTAGGAGAAGATGATAGCGAGTGCACGACGATCAGCAATGCGCCATGCTGCAACATCCTTGTGGATCTTGCGAAGCTCCTCAGCATAGTCTTTTTCGTCTTGAGCGTAGGAGAGGATGCGTGTAGTAGCATCAGCGTGTGATGCTTCCGCAACATGGTGCGCCTCACGTTGGAGAGTGTAAGTGTTGCGAAGCTTGTTGTAGGCGTCCAGGTTGGCCCCCCAGCGATCCGGGTTGTCATCATGAACTGGGGCACGCGGGGGGTCGGGAAGAGGCTCGGGTGGAGGAGGGGCGTCAGGGGGAGGAGGTTCAAGGGGAGGGGGGAGAACAAGCGGGAGGCCATTAGGGTGTTCGAGGACTACATGAAGAAGGCAGTAGTCTTGAATAATGACGGAGCCAAGGTGCGTGTGAAGCGTATCTTCAAACGACGCCCAGTTCACGGCCGTAGTGTCATGGAGAAGTTCGAGCTTGTCTATGGCTCCGAGCTCAATGGGAGTGGAGTCGTCCGCCAGGGGAGGGGGGGGGGGAGGGGGTGACGACACCAGCTTGAGGGCGGGTGCGGTCAAAGAGGACGACACCACCTGGAAGGGTGGTGCGGTCACGTTGCGTGTGGCGGCGCCGGGTTACACGCAGCTGTGTTTGTGTCGCCCGTGGTTGCACCTCGTGGCCCGCGACTGTGCGTCGGTCCGTGGATGCGCCTCATCGCCCGCGGGTGCGCGTCCGTCCGCGGATGCGCCTTGTCGCCCGCGGGTGCGCGTCCGTCCGCGGATGCGCCTCGTCCCCCGCGGGTGCGCGTCCGTCCGCGGATGCGCCTCGTCGCCCGCGGGTGCGCGTCCGTCCGCGGATGCGCCTCTTCGCTCGCGGGTGCGCGTCCGCCCGCGGATGCGCCTCGTCGCCCGCGGGTGCGCGTCCGTCCGCGGATGCGCCTCGTCGCCCGCGGGTGCGCGTCCGTCTGCGGATGCGCCTCGTCGCCCGGGGGTGCGCGTCCGTCCGCGGATGCGCCTCGTCGCCCGCGGGTGCGCGTCCGTCCGCGGATGCGCCTCGTCGCCCGCGGGTGTCCGTCCGTCGGCGGAAATCGCCGCGGTGGTCGCGTCCGCCCTCGTCGGCGGGATGCGCCGCGGTGAGGGAGGGGAGGGGAGGGGGGAGGAAGCGGGCTGCCGGACGGAACTTGTGCGGGGGAGGCACGGGAGAGTGCGTGAGTACGAGGGGGGAGGGGGGCAGTGAAGGCGTAATAGCGCAACTTAGGCGCGAAGAGCGGCAAAGAGCCGTGTGAGAGAGGGGGGAGGGGCGTGATACGGCACGCGTTAGGTGTGGTCCTTAGGATCGAGAGACGGTGTTAACCGTTGTAGCTCTGATTACCATGTCAGAAAACGCGAGGAAGAACCATCGATGATATTAGGAATAGAGGGGGTATACATAGTTGTGCTAGGAGGGATGGTTTGGTGGGGAACCTAGCCAACATTATTGCCCCCCACCAATAAGTTGGGTTGAGGAATTATTGGGGGGACCAATAATGTTGACCAAAGGTGGTTCAACATTATTGGGGGGGGCCAATAATTCCCAACCAAACCTTGGGGGCCAAATAATTGGGCCAAGTGTTGAGTTCCAACCCCCAACTAGGGTTAGCCCTAGTTTTACACCCAAACTACATTTGGGTGTCTACCTCTAGCCGAAGCTTATAGGATAGATGCAGGTTACAAGTGAGGATGGTATTCTAACACAAGCGTCTCTCTATCCTTCCCTCCTCACAGCCAAACGTCTCTCTATCCTTCCCTCCTCACAGCCAAACGTCTCTCTATCCTTCCCTCCCCACCCCTCCCAGGCATACGACGATCGCCTGCGCCAAGCCTTCCAGGACCCCTCCCTGCCATACCACCAGCACCACCATCACCAGCAGCAGCACCACAGCTCCCTCTTCCCCCCAGAGGACGCGGCAGTGCTGGAGGCATACCTCATGTGTCTGCACCAGGTGCTGCGCCACTCGCCCCCGCCCCTGCGCACGCGCCTCTTCTCCGACGCCTTCTTTGACGCGCTCTTCCGCCTGCTCCCCCACGCCGCCGTCCCCCCCGCCCTCAAGGGCGCCCTCCGCTCCGCCATTGCTGCCTTCCTCGGCGCCCCCGCCACCGTTGCTGCGCTCACCACCTCCACAGCCCCTGCTGCTAGGGCCACCACAGCAGCGGCTGGTTTCAGTGGTGCCATGGCAGCAGGAGCGGCTGCTGGTGCTGCTGGTGGAGGGGCGACAGCAGGGGATTTGATGGCAGTGGCGGCAGCAGCGGCGGGGCTGACGGGGGCGGCGGCGGCAGCGCTGGCAGCAAGGACATGGGCGCTGGAGGAATTCTACGATCTGCCGCCCTCGGCTTCTGCGACCCTGGAGGAGCAACAGGCACGTAGTAGTATGTGTGTATGGGCGTGCATGGGCGTGTATGGGCGTGCATGGGCGTGTATGGGCGTGTATGGGCGTGCATGGGCGTGCATGGGCGTGTATGGGCGTGCATGGGCGTGTATGGGCGTGCATGGGCGTGTATGGGCGTGCATGGGCGTGCATGGGCGTGTATGGGCGTGTATGGGCGTGCTCATGTGTGTGTACAGTTGTGCTCCTCTGTATGCCTGTCTTTCTGTGTGCGTATGGACATTGGATGAATTTTGCAACCTCTCCCACCCTCCTTCGCGGATGCTGCCTCGCCTGCTGCTGACGCCCAGCCATGGGGGGCGATGGAGCAGGTGAGAGCGGGCTGGGGAGGGAGGGGTTGTTTTCTGCACTGCACGTTGCTCTTGACTCGGGCTCGACAAACCACAACACGGTAACCCAATCCGCTCCCACATGTTCCCCGCTCTGCACGCACTGTTAGAATATAATTTCAGTTTCTTTCACGCATGTGTCCCCTTTCTTCTCCCCACCGGCCAGTCCACCTCCAAGTATCCCCACTTGCCCCTCGTGCATTGACTGTCCACTATCCATTCCCCTTGCTCTGTTGTCGTGTCACCAATGCGCTCCTGCGCTCCTCTCCCCAGTGCCCTACGGCCTTGGCGTGGCACTGCTGGAGGTGAAGGAGGGGGGAGGGAGCAAGCATGGCTAGCGTAGCACCCCTCTTTTCATATCATGTCATGTTGTGTGAGTGTGTGATGTGATGTGGTGTGATAGTGACACACACCTTGTGCCATGCCACGCTACTCCCATTTCTCTCCCCATGCAGCGCCCGCTACAGCGCCATGCGACATGGGCATGGAGCTTAACAAGGGGAGGCGAGGGAGGAGTAGTACCCCTCCCTGCACTTGCTGCCATGCCATGCCATGCCATGCCATGCTGCACCCCACCACTACCCCCCGTTCTCCAGCGCCCACTACAGCGCCATGCGATGTGGGCATGGAGCTCAACGAGGGGGTTTCGAGGGTGGAGGAGTACCCCTCCGTGTGCTGCGCTTATCTGTGTGATGCTAATTCTATGCCTTGCCCCACCGCCGCACCACCCCCCTCTCCCCGTGCAGCGCCGCGCGACAGCGCCATACGACATGGGCATGGAGCTGAGCGAGGTGGAGGCGAGGGTGGAGGAGTACCCCTCCCTGTGCTGCGCTTATCTGTGTGATGCTAATTCTATGCCTTGCCCCACCGCCGCACCACCCCCCTCTCCCCGTGCAGCGCCGCGCGACAGCGCCATACGACATGGGCATGGAGCTGAGCGAGGTGGAGGCGAGGGTGGAGGAGTACCCCTCAACGCTCTCCTACCTGCGCCTGCACAACACACTGCTCGCCCTCGACCCCCTCTCCCGCCCCGTCAGGTCTCTCATTTCTCTCCTCTCTGCCACTTGCCCTACTTTCTCAACCTCCCTTCCCCTTCATTTCAGTTTTGTCATTCATTGTTGGTTTCTTTTTATCCACCTTCCATCATCGATTCCTTACCTGAGTCGCTTCTCAGCATTTCCTTTCCAAGCATTTGTTCTGCTCTGCTCCTCTTACCTCACCACCCTTCCACCCCCACCCATGCCGCCCACACCCACCCATCGCGCCCACACCCACCCATGCCGCCCACACCCACCCATGCCGCCCGCCCACAGGTTCCTGGACTATTTCCGGTTCGTGACGAGCAGTGTGTTTGTGCCGTACACGCGCCGAGTGTACGCGCGGGCAGACGAGATGTGGCAGCTGCTGCTCGCCTCGCTCTCCCTCTTCCACCTCTCCCTCCTCCTCCTGCACCGCTCCCCCCTCCCCTCCGCACCGCCTCTCGCCGCCCTCTCTGCTGCCTCCTCCTCGTCGGCCAATGGGCTGCTGCCAGCTGGCGCCACACCGGGGCTGCTGCTGATGAAGGTGGGTGGGGGGAGGCAGGCATGCCGTGCATGCAGCTCACATGCAAGTGCATGCAGCTCACATGCAAGTACATGCAGCTCACATGCAAGTGCATGCAGCTCACATGCAAGTGCATGCAGCTCACATGCAAGTGCATGCAGCTCACATGCAAGTGCATGCAGCTCACATGCAAGTGCATGCAGCTCACATGCAAGTGCATGCAGCTCACATGCAAGTGCATGCAGCTCACATGCAAGTGCATGCAGCTCACATGCAAGTGCATGCAGCTCACATGCAAGTGCATGCAGCTCACATGCAAGTGCATGCAGCTCACATGCAAGTGCATGCAGCTCACATGCAAGTGCATGCAGCTCACATGCAAGTGCATGCAGCTCACATGCAAGTGCATGCAGCTCACATGCAAGTGCATGCAGCTCACATGCAAGTGCATGCAGCTCACATGCAAGTGCATGCAGCTCACATGCAAGTGCATGCAGCTCACATGCAAGTGCATGCAGCTCACATGCAAGTGCATGCAGCTCACATGCAAGTGCATGCAGCTCACATGCAAGTGCATGCAGCTCACATGCAAGTGCATGCAGCTCACATGCAAGTGCATGCAGCTCACATGCAAGTGCATGCAGCTCACATGCAAGTGCATGCAGCTCACATGCAAGTGTGCACCAGTTTGCGTTGCTCTCACCTTCACATGCACTGTGAGAGTGCCTGCGCCAGTTAACCACAGACCCACACCTTCATCCCCACCACATGCAATTCGACCCAGCCCCTCTCACTCAAGCTCCTCATGCCCCTCTCAAGCTCCTTATTCGCCCCTTTCCCGCCTACGTTTCCCCCTCCCGCCCCTCTCTTATCCCCACAACCCTCTCAACTTTCAGCCCACTGTCCCCCCTTTCCCTTTCCCCTCTCTGCACCCCTACAGGATGTTGTACTTTCATATTTGATACAACATACATAGGCTAGAACTAGATGTGTAGCACTCTTATAAATTGGGGGGTTGTTTGGTGTACCCTCCTACCACATTTTGTGGTCGGTGGGGATTGGTCCTTAGCTCAACCAATCCCAACCAACACACATTTGTGGTTGCTAGGGCCACAAGCAAGCTCACCCATTGGCCAACTTATTGACCAATAGGATAAGCTTCCCTCTCATCTCTCTCTTGCTCATTGTTTGTACTAAAGGGCCTCCTGGCTCATTATTCAATGCATCAATTCTCTCTTCCAACACAGGACTGCTATGAGCAGGCCCCACCTTGCGCAAGCAGCATCATCGCCATCATCTCAGCCGGCCCCGACGCCCTCCTAGAGGAGCGAGCACTGCGCTGCACCCTCCCCCAGGCGCTCCCATTCGCCCTCAAACACACCGTTGCTGCCATGCTGGAGTCACTTGTAAAGCCTCTCAAAGTGACTCCGCCTTCTGCCCCTTTGCGCTCCCACCTTCCCCTCCCCTTTTCCCTCTACCTCTTTCTTCCCCCCACACAGGATTTCCTATGAGCAGGCGCAGCGCTGCGCAACATGAATGCCATCATCACAGGCAGCCCAGACGCGTTCATGGAGGAACGGGCCCTGCTGCGCCCCCAGGCGTTCGCATTCGCCCTCCAACACACTGTCCCTCTTTTCCCATCCTCCACTCTTTCCCCATCCTCCCCTTTTCCCCCAACAGGATTTCCTATCAGCAGGCCCAGCACTGCGCAACATTATCGCCATCATCACAGCGGGCCCCGATGCGCTTCTAGAGGAGCGTGCGCTGCGCCCCCAGGCGCTCTCATTCGCCTTAGAAGACACCGTTGCCGCCTGCCTGCGCCTGCTGCTCCTCGCACTCTCCCTCGACCAATCCCTGGCCGACACCTGGCAGCCCGCCGTGCGCCCGCTGCACCTCGTGCTCGCGGATGACGTGGTGCTCGTGACAGCTGTCATGTCCTTCGTGCGCTACCAGCCGTCAGATGCCATCCAACGGTCGGCAATCGAGCTCACAAGCGTCTTCAGGTGACCCATGGCCTATGGATGAGGGGGAACCTGCCCCGCGGCTTCGGGTGATTGCTTTCTTGACTCGTAACCGGACTGCACCTCACCTCAGCCTTGTGGTTGTAAGAAGCGCTTTTCTTGACTCGTGAGCCTCGTGGGACTCGTGGTTGTGGGCCGGAAGAAGCGCTCTGTGTTTCCACCAGTGCAGGCCAGCTTTTTGGCCGCCCCGTGTTGTGTGTTGAGCCACCAGATGGCGTGAGGCAGCAGATGGCGTGAGGCAGCAGATGGCGTGAGAGCGTGTTGTGGCCGCAACTAGTGGTGGATTGTGTGTGCCTGTGTGCTGGCACATGGAGGCCAGCATTGATCAGATCACACCATGACCAGGTGGCTTTTGCAAAGTGGTTTCTACTCAACCGGAATGGAGATAGCTTTCCTCTTCACTTCACCCTCCTGCTGCATCCTCTTGCCCCTACCGCTTACAGTGCGCGTGGCGTGCCACTTGTCGCGATGGCATTGGAGGTGGGCATGGTGCAGCGATTGGTGGAGGACTTTGCAGAGTGCCTTGACGTTAGTGCCAGCACCGTCTCTGTACAGGGCGTTGCTGCTCATGGTGACGCTAGTGGCGCGACTGTGGATGGTGGAGGAGAGGAGGAGGAAGGCGGGGAGGAGGGCGAGGAGACGGACTGTGCCACGCTCATTCTCCAGGTGAGTGAGTCCGCGTGGCAAGCACAGTCAATGAATGCTAGCAGCACAGTCAATGAATGCTAGCAGCACAGTCAATGAATGCTAGCAGCACAGTCAATGAATGCTAGCAGCACAGTCAATGAATGCTAGCAGCACAGTCAATGAATGCTAGCAGCACAGTCAATGAATGCTAGCAGCACAGTCAATGAATGCTAGCAGCACAGTCAATGAATGCTAGCAGCACAGTCAATGAATGCTAGCAGCACAGTCAATGAATGCTAGTAGCACAGTCAATGAATGCTAGCAGCACAGTCAATGAATGCTAGCAGCACAGTCAATGAATGCTAGCAGCACAGTCAATGAATGCTAGCAGCACAGTCAATGAATGCTAGCAGCACAGTCAATGAATGCTAGCAGCACAGTCAATGAATGCTAGCAGCACAGTCAATGAATGCTAGCAGCACAGTCAATGAATGCTAGCAGCACAGCACCCTAGCAAGGCGGACAACCCATTCCGTGCTTTCCACCCCGTGGCTGTTTCGTCTGTCCAATGCGCCTACTGTGCTCACCTCCCTCTCGTCTCACCTCCCTCTCGTCTCACCTCCCTCTCGTCTCACCTCCCTCTCGTCTCACCTCCCTCTCATCTCACCTCCCTCTCATCTCAACGCCCTTGCTCCGCGCAGCTGCTGCTGGCGTCGCTAGGGAGGCAGCGGCCCACATTGGCGCACATGCTGCTGGGGTTTGATGTCGACAGGCCGCTCGCTGCCTCCCTGCTGCAGCCCAACCGCCGCTTCAGGTGGGCCGTGTGGACAGCTGGCCGAGGTGCCAGCAACTGTGGTGTTATTGCTCTGGTGCGTTCTGAAGTCTGTAAGTCCAAATCAACTAGTCCTTATGGTTTCTGCTGTCTGCATGTGCTGCATCAAGTCCGGCGTATGCCATCAATTCCACGGCGCATCTCACTTCCTTCCTTCCTTCTCCAACCCTAGCTCGCTCCAAGTGCTCTTGCCCATGCATGCACCTGCTCTTACATATTACCAACAAACCTTCCTCTCCCTCCCCTTCCTGTCTTTTCCACCTCTTCCCCTCCACTCCTCCCTCTCACTTCATCCCCCTCCACTAACCCCATCCCGCTCCCACTCCACTCCCACTCCACTCCCTCCCCACCTCCCGCCCCCCGATCCCCCCCCCACGCCCCCTGCCAGCGCCCTCCGCATTCTCCTCGACCTCGTGCTCTCCACAGGAGCAGACGCAGACTCCGACCAATCAGACGCCACCGCACCGCCACGTGTCAGCCTGCGGTTGGCACGCCTGCGGGAGATGAGCGTGCGAGTGCTGTACCACCTAGCAGCAGACCCCGCCACGTCAGCACCCACGGCAGTGCTGCTGCAGGCAAAGCCGCTGAGCTTCTTTGCTCCGCTGCTCTCCTCCGCGCTCTCAGCGCCTCTCCCTCGCCGCAGCAGCAGCCCCGGCCACCGCGTGGCGGCCCTGCATGAGGTGAGTGAGGTGTGGGAGGGGTGAACAGCGCTGGGTGGGGTGAGTGAGCTGTGGGTGTGGTGAAGAATCAAATCGAGGATTACCTTTTGAAATCTGGGGGGCTGTGAGGCGTCCGGTCCGGGTACTAGCCATTGGTGGGGTGCATGTTTGCGATTGCCCTCACGACGATCGCCAGCGCACCACTACTACCTACCTACCTACCTACCTACCCAGTACATTGCATGCTTTCTTCTGTGCTGACCCATGATGACTCGACTCTGTGTGTGTCTGTGCGGTTTCCCGTAGCAGTGTTTTATTTTCCTATGGGATTTCCCATTCTCCTTCCCTCTCCCCCATCCCTTCCTCCGGAACAATTCGCTCCCTCACTCACTCACCCAACACCCCTCGACCCTCAACGCTCGACCCTCAACGCTCGACCCTCAACGCTCGACCCTCAACGCTCGACCCTCAACGCTCGACCCTCAACGCTCGACCCTCAACGCTCGACCCTCAACGCTCGACCCTCAACGCTCGACCCTCAACGCTCGACCCTCAACCCTCACCCCTCGCCCTCACATTTCCCCTCACCCCTCGCCCTTCACCCCTCACCCCCATCCCCCCTCCACAACACCCCTCGCCCCTCCCTGCAGCGAGCGTGGCTGCTGAAGCTGCTGGCGTTGGCCCTCCACACAACGCCCCCTGCCCCGCACGCCCACAAGCACCACCACTCCCACCACGCCGCCCACTCCGCCACCGCTGGGCGGCAGCTGGAGATCTGCCGGCAGATTCTGTCGGCACTGTTCATGGCAGACGGGGGTGTAGGGAGGGCGGAGGAAGTGGGGGAAGGGGGGAATGGTGCGCTGGTGGTGTGGGGAGGAGGGGAGCAGCAGGCAGAGGGTGTGAGGGGAGGTGTGCTGGCGGTGAGTCACAGTAGGCATGAGCAAGACTCATAGCAAGCAGGGGTGCCACTGGGCTGGCGAGGGATGAGACTTTCCGTTTTCTTCTGATGAATCGGGCTGCCAGTTTGTGTTGCTCGCGCTTTCTTGTTCAAACTTGGTCCACACACGCGCCTCTCACACCGTTTTTGCAGTGTGGAGGCACCTCGCGGCTCGAGCCCTCGTCACTGTGCTACATACTGACTGCTTACATCGTCCTTTTCGCCCCTCCTGCACCCCCTCCCTCCCACCCACCCCATTACTGCTGCACACGCCCCTCCACTGCTGCACGCGCCCCTGGTATGGCATGGCAGGCGACTCAGCTGTTGGAGTTGTTCCTCTTCGCCCTGCCGGACGTCACCCCCAGCTTCCTGCCGCACATCGCTGCCGTGCACCACCAGCTGCAGGTGATCTCCCTCCCTCCCCCAGGTGCATGCGTTAGAGGCACAGCAGCAACGCTGCATGCTTTAGATTCATAGTGACTGACTAGGGTGCTCTCGCGCGGGTCACCCTCTCGTCTCCCTTCTCGCCTCTCGTGCCATTTGGGCTGGAGGGGGTGCTGGGAAGGGAATGGCAGAAACAGTGGGTGCTAGAGGTGTGCTTGAAAGTCTGAAAGGACGAGCTCACGGCCCTCAGCCTCCCCTTCTCACCATCTTTCACGCCTCACCTTTCCCCAAACCTCCTCCCCCCAACCCACCCCCGCACTCCCCTCTGTGAGAATCCCATAGTTGGGATGAGAGGTGAACTCAAGAGTTGGCATATTGAGAAAGAAGAGCAGTACAAATAGTGAGTGACCAAAACTAGGGTTACCCCCCACCATTATTGGTTGACCAATGTGGTGGAGGTTCAGCCCAATAATTGTGGTTGCGCCAATTATTGGAGGAGCCAAACATTGGAGGGTTGGGCACCAATGTTGGCTCCCCAACAATGATGGTTGCTTGGGTTGTGGGAACCCAACCAAAAGTTGGGAGACCTCCTGAATGTGTACACCCATGTTTTGGGTGTACACTGTTAGGTCTAGCCATATGCATGCTATAATCTAACACTCTCCCCTTGTCGCTTCCCTCCTACACTACCCACCGCAGCTGGAGGAGCTGTTGGGGACCGCAGCAGGAGTGGCGGAGGGGGGCGTGTTTGAAGTGAATGAGAGGGGCGACCGCCTTGTGGACCTGCGTGCTCTCTCCCACATCCTCACCCATGTGCGTGCTCTCTCCCACATCCTCACCCATGTGCGTGCTCTCTCCCACATCCTCACCCATGTGCATGCTGATACTCATTGAAATGCTTTCTGATACTGTCACTAAACAATCCTCTCCCACCCTCGCTTTACCTGCTTTCAATCTTACCCCCTTTTCCTATTTTAGCATCTGCGATCGAGCCCACTCCTTTTTACCATCTCATTCGCAACCCCGTCTTTTGTGTTATGGCATCGCATGGCATGATATGGTGTGGCATGGCATGGCATGGCATGGCACGATGTGACATGGTTTGGATTGGCCATCAGAGGTTTGCCTTGCTGGAAGCACAGCGAGGTCCGGGAGCACCGTTTCTCCCAGGCCCTAACCTGGGGGTGGCAGGCTCGGCAGCAGGTTCGGCAGAGGTGCGGCAGGAGGCAGTGAGGGAGGCGTTGAGGTTCGTGTGGCGGCGCAACCGAGTGGAGGAGGAGGCAGCAGCGCAGCAGCATGTGGCTCTCGCGTGGGCGCAGCTGCTGCAAATGGCTCTCTCCAGAAGATTTGATCTGCTGCCACCACATGCCAGGCTGGAAGCCTTGCTGCAGTGAGTCTGGGCTTTAGTCGCCATGCCTGCCTGCCTGCCTGCCTGCCTGTCCCACCCACCATCTACTCTTTTTTTTACTTTTTTTTCACCAGGATTGTTTCTCTTCTTTGCGTCAGCACCCTCGTCCCGATGTGTATAATGGCGAGCTTCCCTCCCCCTGCTGCGCTGCGTGCAGGCTGCTCTCTGCGTGTCTTAGAGCCATCGCTGCGCCTCACACTCCCCTCACCCTCGCCAAGCCCATCTCCCAGGTAGTGAATGCCATGTGGTGTCACCTGCTGCCATGTGGTGTGTCACCTGCTGCCATGTGGTGTCACCTGCTGCCATGTGGTGTCACCTGCTGCCATGTGGTGTCACCTGCTGCCATGTGGTGTCACCTGCTGCCATGTGGTGTCACCTGCTGCCATGTGGTGTCACCTGCTGCCATGTGGTGTCACCTGCTGCCATGTGGTGTCACCTGCTGCCATGTGGTGTCACCTGCTGCCATGTGGTGTCACCTGCTGCCATGTGGTGTCACCTGCTGCCATGTGGTGTCACCTGCTGCCATGTGGTGTCACCTGCTGCCATGTGGTGTCACCTGCTGCCATGTGGTGTCACCTGCTGCCATGTGGTGTCACCTGCTGCCATGTGGTGTCACCTGCTGCCATGTGGTGTCATCTGCTGCCATGTGGTGTCACCTGCTGCCATGTGGTGTCACCTGCTGCCATGTGGTGTCACCTGCTGCCATGTGGTGTCACCTGCTGCCATGTGGTGTCACCTACTGCCATGTCACCTACTGCCATGTCACCTGCTGCCATGTCACCTGCTGCCATGTCACCTGCTGCCATGTCACCTACTGCCATGTGACATTGTGATTGTTCTTTTCCGGACTGCATCCTTCCCTTGTATCCTCTCGTTTCCCATTCTCTCGCCCCTGTGCTGTCTCTCACCTGTAGCACCTTCCCACGTGTGCGCCACAGGACCTCTGGTCGTTCACTTTCCAAATTCCGCCACCCCTTCACCTCATCTTCTCTCCCATCCACTCCTCTCTCCCCTCTGCTCCTCCCCTACGCTCCTCTCTCCCCCCCTCCTCTGCTCACCTGCGCTCCACCTCGCCTCAGGTGGTCCTAGTGGCATTCCTGCAGCTGCAGCACCTCTCCTCCTCCTCCTCGCCCACCTCCATTGACACTCCCTCCTCTGACGACGCGGGCGAGGTGACGTGGAGCGACGTGATTGGCCACTCGTCCCTCTCCGACACAAGCAGCAGGGAGGGGCTAGGAGGCGGGGCGAGTGGGGCAGGGGGCGGGGGGCCTCGGAGGCAGGTGTCAGTGGCGGAGAGCACGGGGTTGCTGAGGGACCTGCTGGGCGCGCTCATGCGGAAGGACTCCTCTGATAGCCTCCGCCGGAGGTGCGTGGGTCACAGGCTGTGAGTGCGCGGCAAGGAGGGTTGAGTGGGCGGCGGCAGGAGGTGAGTGGGCGGCGGCAGGAGGTGAGTGGGCGGCAGGAGGAGGTGATTGGGCGGCAGGATGAGGTGAGTGGACGGCAGGAGGTGGGTGGGCGGCAGGCGGGGGTGAGTTGGGAGCTGGGAGGAGTGAGTGGGGGGCAGGAGGAGGTGAGAGCAGGTGGGAGGGTCTGCACCTCACTGCCAGCCTGATGTGATGATGAGATCACCTCTCTCCCTCACATTCACTCTCCACTGTCCCTTTCTCCTCCAACCCCTTCCATCTCCATCCTTCCATCAATCGCCACCCTCTCCCCCTGCTCCCCCCTCCCTTCCCCCTCTCTCCCCCCCTCTCCCCGCTTCCCACCCCTCTCCCCCCCCCTTCTATCCCCCGCTAGGCTCTACACGTCACTCCTCACCTTCCTCGCCATCTGTGCGCGCCGCTTCCGCAGTGCTGACGTGGATATCTCGCCAGCTGTCATGGCCGTCATTCTCAAGGAGCTGCCCGGGGAAGAAACTTCCTCTGACCGCTCCCTTGATATGGTGCGCTCGTTGCTGATGGTGGGGGGGAAAGGGGGGGTTGGAATGGAAGGGGGGGAGGTGGGGTGGTGGGAAGGGGAGGAAGAGACCTCCTCTGACCGCTCCCTGGAAATGGTGGGTGGGTGTTGGTGGGAGGATTGGGTTGGGGTGTTGGGGAGGGGGACACGGCGGGGAGGGGGGTGAAGCTTTACCATATTCTTGAAGGTCGATTTTTTTAAATTGTCAAAATCAAGCTCCAAAAGAACATGTCGACAGCTGTCAGTTATGGCTGCCCTGCCAACCTCAAAGAGCTTCAACCTTCCTCGGGAAAGAGGCATCCTGCGACCACTCCTTGGATATGGTGGGTTCTGGGAACAGGGGGAAAGGGAGAGGATGAGGGGAAAGGGGGGGTGTGGGAGAGCGCGGGTGTGCTCTCCACGTGTGTCCCTGCCACCAATCTCTCTCACATTCAATTCAACCCCCCACTCACCCCTTCTCTCCCCCCCCCCACACCCCACCCCCCCAACACACACACGCTCCCTCCTTTCCTTCCCTGCGCTCGACCTTCCACTCAGTCGCATGCACAGCCTGCCATTCTGTGACCTTCTGAGTCCACTCACACACATGCATTCACCATCACACATGCATTCACCACCACACATGTTGCACAAAACAACTTCCGCACCCCCCGATGAGCATGACGTGTCAATCAACCGGGGGGTGAGGGGTGATGGTTCCCCACACCCCCTTCCCTCTGCTCCGCACCCCCTTCCCTCTGCTCCGCACCCCCTCCCCTCTGCTCCGCACCCCCTTCCCTCTGCTCCTCACCCCCCTCTCTCTGCTCCTCACCCCCCTCTCTCTGCTCCTCACCCCCCTCTCTCTGCTCCTCACCCCCCTCTCTCTGCTCCTCACCCCCCTCTCTCTGCTCCTCACCCCCCTCTCTCTGCTCCTCACCCCCCTCTCTCTGCTCCTCACCCCCTTCTCTCTGCTCCTCACCCCCCTCTCTCTGCTCCTCACCCCCCTCTCTCTGCTCCTCACCCCCCTCTCTCTGCTCCTCACCCCCCTCTCTCTGCTCCTCACCCCCCTCTCTCTGCTCCTCACCCCCCTCTCTCTGCTCCTCACCCCCCTCTCTCTGCTCCTCACCCCCCTCTCTCTGCTCCTCACCCCCCTCTCTCTGCTCCTCACCCCCCTCCCTCTGCTCCTCACCCCCTTCCCTCTGCTCCTCACCCCCCTCTCTCTGCTCCTCACCCCCCTCTCTCTGCTCCTCACCCCCCTCTCTCTGCTCCTCTCCCCCCTCTCTCTGCTCCTCATCTCCCTCTCTCTGCTCCTCACCCCCCTCTCTCTGCTCCTCACCCCCCTCTCTCTGCTCCTCACCCCCCTCTCTCTGCTCCTCACCCCCCTCTCTCTGCTCCTCACCCCCTTCCCTCTGCTCCGCACCCCCTTCCCTCTGCTCCTCACCCCCCTCTCTCTGCTCCTCACCCCCCTCTCTCTGCTCCTCACCCCCTTCCCTCTGCTCCGCACCCCCTTCCCTCTGCTCCTCACCCCCCTCTCTCTGCTCCTCACCCCCCTCTCTCTGCTCCTCACCCCCTTCCCTCTGCTCCGCACCCCCTTCCCTCTGCTCCGCACCCCCTTCCCTCTGTTCCTCACCCCCCTCTCTCTGCTCCTCACCCCCTTCCCTCTGCTCCGCACCCCCTTCCCTCTGCTCCGCACCCCCTTCCCTCTGCTCCTCACCCCCCTCTCTCTGCTCCTCACCCCCCTCTCTCTGCTCCGAACCCCCCTCTCTCTGTTCCTCACCCCCTTCCCTCTGCTCCGCACCCCCTTCCCTCTGCTCCTCACCCCCCTCTCTCTGCTCCTCACCCCCCTCTCTCTGCTCCTCACCCCCTTCCCTCTGCTCCGCACCCCCTTCCCTCTGCTCCGCACCCCCTTCCCTCTGTTCCTCACCCCCCTCTCTCTGCTCCTCACCCCCTTCCCTCTGCTCCGCACCCCCTTCCCTCTGCTCCGCACCCCCTTCCCTCTGCTCCTCACCCCCCTCTCTCTGCTCCTCACCCCCCTCTCTCTGCTCCGAACCCCCCTCTCTCTGTTCCTCACCCCCTTCTCTCTGCTCCTCACCCCCCTCTCTTTGCTCCTCACCCCCCTCTCTCTGCTCCTCACCCCCCTCTCTCTGCTCCGAACCCCCCTCCCTCTGCTCCGAACCCCCTTTCCCGCCACCTCCCTGTCAGTTGGAACGGCAGCGCAGGGAGATGCAGCGGGCCACACACGCCCTCCTCTCGCCCCACCTGCCCACTCTCATCCGCACTCTCTCCCACGACGCCTCCTCCTCCCCCTCCCCCCTCACTCGCTCCCTCGCACTCGCCGCCCTCTCATCCCTCCTCTCCCACTCCGCTGACCCAATCGCGGCCTCCGCCAGCCTGGCGCCGACCAATGGCATCGCGGCAGCTGGACGGGACCACCGGAGCATTTTTGCGCAATCCGTGGGCGGTGGGCAGAATCAGAATCTGCCAATTGGATTCGGGCGATTGCCGGATTTGGCGCCAGGGATGACGTCAGCACTGGCGGTGGCGTCCACGTCAGCAGCGGCTGTGCTGAGTCAGATGCAGGCGCACGGAATGGTGCAGGCGTGCATAGCTGACGTCAGCAAGGGGATTTCAGAGGTGTGTGGCATGGCATGTGTGAAACCTTGATCGGTGCAGTGCTGCAGCTGAATTGACTGAGTTCAATTCAACTCGCTGCACCGTTTATATCAAGTGCCATCTGCACAGCTTCTTACATGGGGCTGCAGTCTTTCCCTTACCATTCCCCACTCCTGGACTTCCAACGTACTACACCCTCATACTTCCACTGTCCCGACCCCCTCTTCTCCTCTCCCTGCTAATCCCCCTCTCGCAGGTGCTGCCACTCCCCGCAGCAGATGCCCAGCGCCACGCATTCGTGACGAGGCGCGCCTGTCGCTGCTGCTCTCACACCACCCCTCCCCTTCCCCTCCCCTTCCCCTCCCCTTCCCTCCCCCTCCCCTCCCCCCCCCGTACCCCCTGCCCAACAGGTGCTCCTGCTGCCCTCGGCCGACGCACAGCGCCAGGCGTTCGTGACGGAGGCGCGGCTGGCGCTGCTGCTGGCCATGGCGGCGGCCACGGGGCGCCAAGGGCTGCTGCTGCTGCTCAACGCGGGATTCCTCCGCGCCATGGCTGCATGCCCCTCCCTCGACGCCCCTGTTTCTGTCAGTCCCCCCCCCCCGCACTGCGCCGCACCACACCGCACTGCACCGCACTGTACTGCACCCCACTGCACTGCATTCACTCACATACCATGCCATGCCGCACAACACTTGCCAATGTATTGTGCGGGGTCAAAGTTCTCTGCTCAACTCGCCCCACACCCGACCCAGTGGGTCTCTCATACCCAGGCGCCCCCATCCGAGTCGCTCTGCTTCTCCCACCTCGTCTCCCCTCTTCTGCCCCCACTGTTTGCGCTTCCATGCTGGATCTCTCAACACCCATTGGTCCGGTTCTACCTCCACCCCTGTGAACACCACCCCACCCCACCGCCTCCCACCCCCCAGGAGGCATCCTACCTGGCACCGCCCCCAGTGGGGCTGTCATCTCTGGATGTGCCTTCGGAGTCTCTCTGCTTCGCTCACCTCGTTGCCCCCGTGCTGCGCCTGCTGCTCGCCCTCTCCACCCTCGCCCCGCCCGACGCCTCGCTCTCACCACACGCACCACCATCCGACGCCACTGTGAGCCGCATCGCATGCTCCTGAGTAGCACTGCACAACTGCCCATAGCCCTGTAGCACTGCACAACTGCCCATAGCCCTGTAGCACTGCACAACTGCCCAGAGCCCTGTAGCACTGCACAACTGCCCATAGCCCTGTAGCACTGCACAACTGCCCATAGCCCTGTAGCACTGCACAACTGCCCATAGCCCTGTAGCACTGCACAACTGCCCATAGCCCTGTAGCACTGCACAACTGCCCATAGCCCTGTAGCACTGCACAACTGCCCATAGCCCTGTAGCACTGCACAACTGCGCATAGCCCTGTAGCACTGCACAACTGCCCATAGCCCTGTAGCACTGCACAACTGCGCATAGCTCTGTAGCACTGCACAACTGCCCATAGCCCTGTAGCACTGCACAACTGCCCATAGCCCTGTAGCACTGCACAACTGCCCATAGCCCTGTAGCACTGCACAACTGCCCATCGCCCTGTAGCACTGTAGCACTGCCCATAGCCCCTTCATCTTCAACTCATTTCACGTGGATTTTGAATGGGCGACATTGTGAGGTGGCGCCTCGAGAATCCTTCAGATTTCACTGTGTGATCCACATGCACTTGCCATTAATCAACGCGCCTCACAAATATTTCTAGTACTTTGGAGGCATCTCGAGATTCCTCTTCATACCACATTAATTCACTTGCCGCTGCGGCTGCGCCGTGCTGCTGTTGTGCTGTCACCCGTCCCTCTCACCTCACGTCCATTACATCTCACCGCACCGCACAGCACACCCATCTGATCGCATGACTCACTACCCTCTGCCCCCCGTGTACACACAGTCCAAGGCAGGCGTGGCATCACAGCTGCTGCACTTCCTTTTGAGGCGCCTCAAAAGTCTCATCTCTCACTCCCCTCTGCCCCCCTGTGGGCCTTGCGCAGTCAAAGCGGACGTGGCATCACAGCTGGTGCGCTTCGCCGTGCACCACGACCCCATGCTCTCGCACCCACTCTGCTCTTCTCTCCTCCCCCTTGCACGCTCACTCCCGTCATCACAGTCAAAAGCGGACGTGGCATCACAGCTGGTGCAGTTCGCCATCCATCACGAGCCCATGCTCTCACGCCTGCTGGAGGACCGCTCGCCCGCCTGCAACCCCACCGACCTGCTGCTGCTCTCCCTCTCCACCGCCTTCCTCTCCCGGGTTCGCTCACTTCCACGTATCCAGATCAAGGGGTACTTTGTGAGAAGACGTGTGAAGTAGGAAGAGGAATCGATGATACATTAGAGGTGTCGAGGGCATACATAGTTGTGCTAGAGGGGTGGGGTTTGGTCGGGTTCCTAGGCAACATTATTGGCCCCTACCAATAAGTTAGGTTGAGGAATTTATTGGGGGGTCCAATCATGCTGGCAAAAGTGGGCCAACATTAGGCATGATCATCCTGCCCCGGCGGGTCGGGTCAGGCATTTTGAAGCGCTGACCCGGCCGGGTCGGGTCGGGTTTACCCGGTCGGGTCGGGTCGACCCGACACCCGAAACCGGGTCGGGTTGGGTCGGGTCAGATTTAGACCCGAAGTCGTACCCGACCCGGTTTCGGGTACTGCGCCCTAAGTCGGGTCGAGTATTTGGCCCAACCCGACTTTTCCTCCCTCGACAAGTTGCACTAAAGCAGATCGCGAAGTCAATGTCTAGGGTTTGTTTGTTCCGTTGACATTGACATTCCCTCGACAAGTTGCACTAAAGCAGATCGCGAAGTCAATGTCTAAACCCTAGACCGGAGCTGCTGTAGTAATCCATTACCTAACTGCTGCTGTAGTAGGTCATCGTCAAAGTGAATAGGAAGAAATCGAACGCAAAGATTATTGAAGGGAAAAGCGGCCTGACATTGAGTGAGTCTGGTAGAAGTTGGCAACAAATTGGATGGGGTGAAGGTGGGTTGTGAGCGGTGGATAAGAGGGAATGATCCACCAACAATCTCGAAATTCAGATCTGAAGTTGCTTTAGCAATGCGCGAACTCAGATCTGAATTTCTAGACTCAAATTTGAGTTCGCCAGATCGCGAACTCATCTGATATTTTTTTTCCGGTCAGCCCGAGCCAAATTTGGCGAATTTTAGAAAAATCCGCAGCGTACGAATTCTAGATGCGTATAAACTCAATACGCAACTTGAAACTAGCGTTTTTTCCAACTTAGGAACCTCTTACCCTGCATATGGGGTCCTGGCCCGACCCGACCCGACCCGGGGGCGGGTCACGCCTGACCCGGCACCCGATACCCGGGTCGGGCCAGGATTTTTTGAAGTTCCGACCCGACCCGACCCGACCCGGAACCCGGCTGGCCCGCCCAAGTCGGGTCGGGTCGGGTCGGGTCGGGCCTAATGATCATGCCTGGCCAACATAACTGGAGGTCCAATAATCTCCCAACCCAACCTTGGGGGCCAAATAATTGGCCCAAGGTTGGGTTTCAACCCCGAACTAGGGTTAACCCTAGTTGTACACTCAAACTAGGTTTGAGTGTCTATCCCTACTCAAGGCTCATAAGATAGATGCAGGTTACAACAGAGGTTGGTACTCTGACATACCTAGCCTGCCTCCTCCCTCCCGTCCACTCACCCCCGTCTCCATCTCATCCTCCCACTTAAGGGACATATAACGTGTTTGGGGATTGAAAGCGCAAGAGTTTAAACGTTGTAAGTTATGGAATTCGCCGTTTCACGTTCTCCTTCCGTCCCCCTCCCGCTCTCTGCTGCAGACGCTCCTCTGCCCCAACCCCTCCCAACTGAAGGGGCTGCAAGGTCTCATGCTGCAGGCAACAGCAGTGGGCGAGGGGATGGGAAGATCCCATTCTCTAATGGTCCTTTCTCTGTCGCTGTCAAGTTTCAACTGCTCTCCATCCCCTTGCCCATCCCCTTCCTCCCTCTCTCCGTCCCTCTACCCCAGGCGCTTCTCTGGGCCGGCCCCTCTCAGCTGGAGGGGCTGCGAGGCCTCATGCTGCGGGCAGCGGCGGCGTACAGCGTGGGCGATGGGGAGAGCCGCGTCAAGTATGTGCGGCAGCGCGTGGCGAGGGAGGAGGATGACCGTGCTGGAGAGATCGGTGGGATCTCACTCTCCCTGCTCCTTCCTCCGGTGCGTTGGGGTTGGGGTTGCCTCAAAGCCCATCTCATTTCACTGCTCTGCTGCAGCAGCACGTGCTGTTTGTGATCGCTCTCTGGCGTATGCGATTCCTCGTCCTCTCATCGCACACCCCCCCCCCCCCTCCTCTCCTCTCCCTTGCCCACTCCTCAGCTCTCCTTCCTCTACCATTCTCCTCCCCATCTCTCCTTCCTCTACCATTCTCCTCCTCAGCTCTCCTTCCTCTACCATTCTCTTCCTGCTCTCTCACGTGACCTCCCATCTTCTCATCCACTGAAACCCCCATCATCGGCGCATGCGTGGCAGGAGGAGCAAGCAATGGAGGAGGGGGTGTTGAGAGTGAGGGCCAACCTCATGGCATACCTGCGCTCCCTCGTCGCCTTCAAACGCCTCCTCCTGCCCGCCGCCTCCAAGCACCAGGTGATTCGCCATGCTGCCTCCAAGCACCAGGTGATTCGCCGTGCTGCCTCCAAGCATCAGGTGATTCGCCATGCTGCCTCCAAGCATCAGGTGATTCGCCATGCTGCCTCCAAGCATCAGGTGATTCGCCACGCGTCCTCCAAGCACCAGGTGTTTCGCCCTGCTGCCTACAGGCACCAGGTGATTCTCCAGCATGTATCTGTTATCTGCCATGTCCTCCTCACCTTCTCTAGTGTGACACAAGCATTCATCCCATCCCATGCCATACAATCAGAATGCTCCACTGTCCCCTTCTGACGTTCCCACTCTCTTGGTTCTTCCCTGCACTGTCTCCACCACTCCTTGCATGTAACGTGGCAGCATCAGGGCCCCACCTTGAGCCTCTTATCAGACCTGCTCCGTCAGATGGTCATCGACCTGCAGGCAGCTGTGGAGGCACGTGGCACTGCGCTCACCAAGGTGTGTGTGTGTCTCTCTCTCTCTCTCTCACCCCTCGGTTCTATGCAGCACCCTATAGCACCACGCAACACCGCACCGCACAGCACAGCACAGCACAGCACAACAGCACAGCACAGAATCCTTGTTGCTGGATACCCCAAAGTACCTCTTTGTGTTGCCCCCCTTACAACCTTGGTAGTGCAAACTTGCTCCACGCACGAACCCGTTCCATCTCCTATCTCATCCTCCTTGCCCTCTCATATTCCTTACCCCATAATGTTTTCATGACATGACGTGGCATGATGCTATGGTACGTGATGGCATGGGAAATGATGGCATGTCATGGCGTGGCATGGCATGGCGTGGCATGGCGCATGAGGGCACACGCCACCAGCTGGCGGATGTGAACGACATGTCACGGCACGAGGCAGAGGAGCTCATCCATGCCACTGCCTTCCACGCGCCCCACTCCGCCGCCCACTCCCACCTGCCCCTCCGCCAAGCGTAATTCCTCCTCAACCTCTAACCCTCTCACCCTTACCTTTCCCCCCGGCCCTCCTCATCTCGTTCCCTGCTCTTCCTTCTGCCGTCACTGTCTTCCATGCGCCCCACATCCCTCCCTATTCACCTTCCCTCCTGCAAGCGTGTTGCCGCTTATGTGGATAATCTTCATTTACTTGTGAGACCTCTCAAGCTCAATCCCTCTACCGACCTCACCCCTCGCAGGTGGCACCCACCCGCCAGGCGCTACTCATCCTGACCATGCCAGCCTAGCATCCACCAAAGAGAGAGCCCTCACATGGATGCTCTTCATCTGTCAACACCTCCTTCACCTCCTCCTCTGCCCCCATCCCTCCCCTGACCCCCCCTTCTTCTCCCCCCACTCTTCCCCCCGTCCCTATCCCACCCCTACCGCCCACGGCGCAGGCGGCGGCAGGCGCTATTGATCCTGGCGGGGCTGGCATCCAGCAAGGAGCGCGCGCTCTCATGGATGCTCTTCATCTGCGAGCACCTGCTGCACCTCCTCCTCGCCCACTTCTCCCTCCACCACTCCCTCCTCTCCCGCTCCTCCTCGCCCCTCGCCTCCTCCCTCTCGCCCTCCCCCACCACCTTCTCCTCCCGCCCGCGCTCCCTGCGCGTGCAAGGGCCGCGCGTCTCCCCCTCTCCTGGGGGGGCTGATGCGATGGGGTTCGGGGGAGTGGCAGACGGGGGAGAGGATGCAGGAGCGGCAGCAGAGGCAGCAGCGGCGGGGATGGCTGGGGGGCACAGCAGGGAGGAGTTTGAGTCGGTTGTTGGGACCACAGCTGACCTGGAGGCTGTGGCTCGTGAGGTGCTGCCAAGTGTCAACAGACTAGTGGAGGTGAACGAGGTGAGCTGGTGCATTCGATGTTACTCTTGGTTGAATGATATAGGTTTTATAACTGTCTGAACGGTATTGAGTGTGTGATGATTGGGGGTGGACAAGCCACCACACGCTACAGGCGGAGCCATGGGAGTGGGGCGTCAGGTTGGGTTTTGAGTCGACTCAAAACGCTACAGGCGGAGCCGTGGGAGTGGGGCGTCACATTGGTGCAGCAGGTACGGGTAATGTTGCCCGCATAGACGGAGTCACTGGGATTGCTCAAGAGACAACATTGCTCCTCTGTTCTGTCCAGCTGCCGCCCGCTCTCCCCAACTGCCAGCCATTGGCTGCCGCCCGGGTTCCCCAACTGCCAGCCATTGGCTGCCGCCCGGGTTCCCCAACTGCCAGCCATCACTCTCCCCCCGGCTGCCGCTCCCCTTGCAGGGCCACGTGGGGTGCTGCACAGACTACATGAACGGAGTTTTATGGCGCCTCAAAACTGGTCGACTCTCATGAATCAAAGCTCATCTCATGCCACGCCTCAAAACCCCCGTCCACCGCTCCCCTTGCAGGACCGTGTGGGCTGCAGCACGGACTACATGAAGCGCCTCGCTCTCTCACTGCGCTCCTCCCTGCTGCGCCAGTTCCACCTCTAAAGCCGTGCTCAATATTGACCACCAGTGCTCGTTGCTGCGCCCTTAGTTGCCAACTATAGATGGTACATCAGCTGCATAGGTGTGTTACAGTGTGCTGCAGATTTTGTCCTGAGCAGGGCTGTTCCCTGTGAGTAGTATAGAATGTCACACTGATTTGACATATGGTATGTTCTGGTTGGAAATATCAACTACAATCTCAATTTTACTGGCTCGTAAATGTACAAATACTGGTGTCTTCAGTTCCTGTAGAATATTATACCTTCATCCCTTTGATAGTCATGGTGACAGTGCCCCTACCCTGGGATTACTTGCCAGGGTCATGTAGGTACCGTAATCCCCAGGGTGAGCCAATCTAGGACTCAAACTCATTCATCCTAAAATTATGGTGTCCTGTCCTACGAGTGGTAGAACAAAATCTCTTCTACCCAGTACCTCTAGTACCTCCAGTAGGACCTCCAGGCCTAGTAGCTCCAGTACCTCCAGCTCCAGGACCTCCAAAAGGACTCGCAGCACCCCCAGAGTCAGACCCGAAGTCTCGGCACCCTTCAGTCCCAGCACCCTCAGTCTCAGCACCCTCAGTGTCCATAGCAGTAGGCTGCAGAGGCGGCGAAGACGGCAGAGGTGGGAACCCGGGGGGGGGGGGGGGGGTAGCGAGACGAGGAGAGCGGGCACCCCCAGACTCACCACCCCTAGTCCCAGCTCCAGTAGTCTCAGCTCCAGAGTCCACAGCAGCAGGCTGCGGAGGCGGCGAAGACGGCCGTGGCGGGAAACCCGGTGGGGGTTGCCAAGCGAGGAGTGCGGCGAGTGGTCGCCGTGTCGTCGGCTACGGCGTCACCCCCCTCAGGTGAGTCCGAAGAGTCAGAAGAGATCTCAACTGGCTCATCCAAGGGGGGTGCGTCTACCTGGGACACACCTGAGGGAGCAAGACCCTGTGGGGGAAGGGGGTCTACCGGGGGGGGGGGGACTGGTACCAGGAAGAGGGGTGCAAGGGGGACCGGGTGGGACGTGTGTGGGTGAAGTCGGTAGTAACAGAGCGACTCGTCGAAGGTGACGTCCTGAGAGGACAGAACATGACGCGAGGCAGGGTGGTAGAACTGCCAGCGTGGAGCGCCGGTGGGGAAGCCCAGGAAGACACAGCGGAGAGTGCAAGGAGAGAGCTTGCTCGCTTTGGTATCGCGAACAAGGGAGAGCACGCCCCAGACCCAAAACGACGACCCATCACTAGGCTGTCTCGTCCAACGGAGTGTGGGCGAGGTCTCTGTAGCAGAGACACAGGGCCAGAGGTTGAGCTGATGCGCGGCGTATCGGACCGCAAACGGCCACAGGAAATGGGGAGCAGCCACATGGATCATGGAGGTACAAGCAACCTCCGTGATCAGGCCAATGCGATGCTCAGCGATCCCATTTTGTTGCGGAGAGGCCGGAAGCGTCAACGACTGGGCGATGCCCTCATCCTGGAAGAACGTCTTAAGGACGCGAGAAGAGAATTCTCCACCCCTGTCAGAGTGCAAACGCAGGACTGGGAAGTCCTGCTGAAAGCGCTCGTCTAGCTGGAGACGAGTAGCACGGATCTAGGGGATCAAAACACCGCTGACGTCCGCCTTGTGACGCAAGGGGAAGACTGTGGTGTAGCGTGTGTAGTCATCAACAACAAGCAGGGAGTAGCGCTCCTGGTCCGTCCCACCGACGGGGGCCGGGCCCCACACGTCTAGGTGGAGAGTCCGCAGAGGAGCAGTGGTTGGAGGAAACTCGAGGGAGTGAGGAGCGGCACGCTATCGCCCCTCGACGCAAGGAAGGCACGGCGGCGCAAGTGAGCGCGGGAGGGGGGGCAGGGTCTCAGGGAGGCCAGAGACCAGGAGCCGGGAGTGCATGCCGCGCAGACGCTGCAGGGAGGGGTGACCAAGACGATGGTGCCAGTGCTGAGTCTCGTGCGTGAGTACTCTGCACGAGCAAGACACAACTAACTGCCCTGACGCAGACGCTCGACTCGACGCAGCTACCTGACCTGACTCAGCCACCTGTGCAGATGCAGTGGTCAGTGTGTATAGACTAGACCCAGGCTGTCGAGTGAACGTAGCCAGGTGACGGCCAGTCTGGGAGCACGTACAGATCGCCACACGCTTCCCTCTAGGAATAATAGTATCAACCCAGACATCCTGAATGGCAGCGTTGCTCACCAAGTTCGTCAAGAACGTGGGGAGGTGGAGACCTGACAAAGAGCCGGAGGGGACTGCTGGACAAGGGAGGACCGTGGAGGCTCTCGCAACCACTGGGCCCCCAGAGGGGTCAGCGTGTGAGACTGGGACAGGTGCTGAGAGTGGTGTGACTGTGGTGCAATCACGAAAGAAGCAACGTGACGCGCCTGAGTCAAGCGTGAAAGTGTGGAAGACCTCATTTGAGGCAGGACCTGTGGTAGTAGATGCACTAGCACCTAGAGCGTCGGTAGACGGACGGGCACCTAGAGCTGCAGCAAACTTACTAGCACCTAGAGCCGTAGCAGACTCACTAGCCTAGAGCAGCAGTCCTAACAAAACGATAACCTCCACCACCAGGACGACCTCGCTGAATAACCCACTCACGAAGGTGCCGAGGGGTGGGGTCGTCCGGGAGAAGCAGTGCCCGCTGCTGTCTACCCCTAGCCGCAGCAACTGCCGCGGAAGTGGCCATGACAGACAGTGACGGTCAGGAGTAGGTTTAGCACTTCCAGCTCTTATAGCGCCAGCAGCACCTCCTGCACTCCCACCAGCATCTCCACCACTCCTAGTAGCACGAGTAGCAGCAGCAACACTAGTAACAGCAGTAGGGCGGCGCGCGGCCAGAGCAGGGCGGCGCGCGGCCACAGCAAGGCAGTAGCTCCTAGGGCAGAAGCACCTAGGACCCTTTTTTTTTTTTAATAAACAATTTAATTATATTTAGGGTAAGCAGGGTGCTGGCGCAGGGAAGGGCACGGGTGCAGGGCAGGGCGCTGGCACAGGGCAGGGCGCCAGCATGCGTAGGGCAGGGCGCTGGCGCAGGCTGCAGCAGTGCGTGACGTGAGGGGCAGCAGAGCGCGACGCTCGGCTCGGCAGGTCCGTGCGCGAGCTGTAGGGGCGGCACGAACGGGCCGCAAAGGCAGCGCGCGGGCTCCAGGGGCGACGCGCGAGCTGCAGGGGCCGCGCGGACGGGCTGCAGAGGCGACGCGCGGCTCGGTAGGTCTGCGCGCGGGCTGCATGGGCAGCGTGAACGGGCTGCAGGGGCAGCGTGAATGGGCTGCAGGGGCAGCGTGAACGGGCTGCAGGGGCAGCGTGAACGGGCTGCAGGGGCAGCGTGAACGGGCTGCAGGGGCAGCGTGAACGGGCTGCAGGGGCAGCGTGAACGGGCTGCAGGGGCAGCGTGAACGGGCTGCAGGGGCAGCGTGAACGGGTTGCAGGGACAGCGTGAACGGGCTGCAGGGGCAGCGTGAACTGGCTGCAGGGGCAGCGTGAACGGGCTGCAGGGGCAGCGCGGTCGTAGGGGCGAGCACGGCTGCAGGGGCAGCGCGGTCGCAAGGGCAGCGCACGGGCTGCAAGGATCGCGACAGTGAGAGCTAGGGGCGCCAGCGCGCTGGCTACTGTGTAGGGCGTGGGGCTACCACTAGGCGGAACGGTGGGCCCATATAGGAACGGTTCCTGCTCTGATACCATGTCAAGAATAGAACTAGGAATGGATGATTGAACTAGGCAAGAGGTGAGTACAAGTAGGGGAAACCTAACCCTGAAGTGTTGTACTCACTAAGAAGTGACCCTACTGTAGCCTAGAGATACAATTGTAATCTCACACGGCGAAGTAGTGTCAATTACCGTACTACTTACAAGTGGGGTGGAGAAGTGTGTGGCTTAAAAAGAGAGTGTAAAATAGTTGTTGGGCTGCACTTGTTGCGACCAGAAACCTGATCGTGCATATGATCACCTCAGGAAGGTTTGAACGCAGTGTGTTGCAGCAGAAGTATTGACCTCATGTCAGAGAATTTAAAATGACTGGGGATGATTTTAAAACAAGGGCATACATGATGATATATTGTAGTACAAGGGAAAACCAAACGTCCTAGCTAACCATGTACTATAAAGAGTACATTTCCTTATTGGAAGGAAACATGGTAACCGTGTGACTCCAGATGGTTACAAACATGTTCCCCCCAAAATCCTTGCTCATGGATCTGCCCGATGCTTCTGCTCAGATGGTCCAGATGCTGCCAACCATACGCGACTCTTCGCGTCATTCCAACCTTTTGCCTTTGTACTCGCCTTTGCATTATTCGCTTGCTACTCATAGGAGTGCACAATGCTTCTCTATTTACTAGTCATAACAGAACTTAGCCCTAAGCCTACATTCGTGTGAAGACATGTCTCTTAAGAAAGTGTCGCAATCGTATGTGATGCGTAATACTACATATGCTGGCACGTGTCAGAACCTCAGACCGCGAGGAAGCGACTTGTGTATTTTACACAGTCTGCACCCAACCACGCAACTCTCGCCCACGAGTTGCATGCAGCCCCACCTCGGATCAACCATCGCACGTGGCACAAAATGTCAGGTAACAACAAAATGCACCTGGACAACCCGCCCAAGCGTGAAATTTGACGCACGAGCTTACAACGAGCTTAGTAGGGCACTTTGATGCACGAAAACAATGTAACAAGTACACACAGGTCATGACTGAGTTTTTCCCGCCATCACACAATGCACGTCCCCCCTCCCTTTCCCGATGTTCCGCCTTCTTGTCCCCGTGGTCTCCTTCACCCTCGCATACAGCAACTTCATTGAAGCAGATTCGACTCTCACGGAATAGCTGGATATGGAAATTAGGAACCAGCCGACATGGCTCGTTGCGTAAGAGCGGCGACCGCAACAAAAGCGACAAGTGCCCCTAGGATCTTAACGAGATCCCCTACATTCAATGGATGAACGACTAGATCGCCAACGGCCGACATCCCATGGGATTTAACCCGCCAGAGGCGCCACCACCTAAGGGTGTTTTAGCA